ATATGAATGAACAGACAAGAGTTTACTGGAAACGCATGCCGGGCCAGTGGCAGGAATCACGAAAGCGAACGTGTACTTCCAGGGAAGTTTGTCCGGTCATTTACATGCTACTTATTGTAATATATACGTATGTATTTAAATCACACAGTTTGACCAATTGATCGTGTAGCTAAACTGTCAGATGCTTTGCAGTGGTTGACCGAATTATGAAGTGGGCCTTCGAAGCAGAGCGAATATGTCGGACATGAAAGAAATGCTACGTTGCGCTAAGCCTGCAACAAACCCTATTTGAATGAGTCTCATCGCGACGAGTTTATTTCAGTGGCTTCTAACTATTTACCGTGGGGAAATGCTTACCCTTAACTTTTGATCGATTTCTTTTTAAAAACCGCAGGCATAAACACCACAACGACTGACCTCTGTCGACCGGGTAAGAAATGCGAGTTGTGATAGGATGAATCAATAAACCGTTTGCTAAGATTAAGTGTACATTTGAACATGTAACATTGTATGGGCTGGTTCGGCTTGGGTTTTTGAGGGGTCGACACATTACCAGGTTGAGAATAATAAACACCGTTCCTTATTCCTTATCCTCGACTGTCTTAATTAGGTCAAATATTGCAGGGTTCATAAAGTGATGATAGTAATGAGGTGTATTTTTGTGCATGGTGTTTCGTTTCCTCGGTCCGTTAATGTATCCACCTCTGGAGAACGCAGTTCGCTTTAANTGGAGATACCGTAAGCATTCACCTTTTGTAGTTTCAATTTCTAATTTATTTCAAAGTTTGTAAAGGAAAAATACTACACCCTTTGTGTTACATTTGATATATTTTTATTTACCAGAGTAGAGCATTTTAGATATCCTCTGCACTACCGTCATGCGGCAATCGATTCTTCAGTAATAGGGCTATAAAGCACACCACAATAGACAGTAGTAATACTTGTTGTGCAATCGTCAGCCGTTTTGCACATCTGCATTAGGGACAGTGTTAAATCAGATGGACAGAAAAGGCCCTTTTGCTTCACCACTGCGAAAGATCGACGAAGAATAATTGAATGTGGATGCGGTGATGATTGGAAAGAAGTTGCAAAACACCTCGGCATTAAGATTGCAGTCACGGATCGGAGAATAACACAAAAACATGGATCTTAAAAGTCAAAATTCAGCAACGAGTTCACAAAACATATGTATGATATTATCGACGAGAACCCTACAACCACGTTGAGACGGTTGCAGGAACGAATGGAGAAGGATTTCCTGGGCACATCTGTCAGTAAAACTTCGATTGATCGATTGCGGGATGGACATTACCATTCCGTTAAGAAGCTGACCATTCAGCCCGTGAAACGGAGCTCGAAAACTGTCAAATTAAAGATAGTGGAACATGCCGATTGGGCACAGTGATCGAGTAATGCAAAACTGAGGTTGTATATTGACGAGACCCACTACAATATATGGTACTGTCACAACTACGGATGCTCCGAAGTGGGCCTAAAAGTTGGCTGAAGTGTCCCTTTCAACAAAGGACCCAACTTAAACAAAAAAATAATTCATCTTTCGCCGGTTTCTTGAAATATGAATGTCATACAAAGATTACTTGGCATGGTTTCAACGGATTTCTATGGAGCCGCCCCATGCTAATCACTACTGAACAACTGGGTGTTCCATTTGTTTTTACCTTCAAAAATGTGCCCGTTCATCGGAGGGCTTTGAAGGCGCAGTCACATGCCAAACACCAAATTCGGTTTCTTCCACCATTCAGTCCTTTTGTAAGTCTGCTGGATCACGCCCTCAGTAAATTCAAACTGGTAACCGTTTTTAATTCTTTAGTTCTCTTATCTTTATTATTAAATATTTGTTCACTGAAAACACTGAGTTCATACAAACTGTGTCAAATGGTTTGACGATATGGGCACATCGTTTAAAACTATTCCAATCAATATGTGGTGCAACATGTGACCGTCAAACCTTCTCATTTCTAAGCCAAGCTTTGCATTATCAACTTTTGTAGAAAATAAAATGTCTCAACATTCGTTGACCTCAGCATATTCCGATAGTTTTGATCTGTTTCGCCAACAGCTGTGTAACTAAAGTTTGCGCATCGAAGCTAAGAGTCTTGGTTAAAGCATCGTGGGTTTCGGCTAAAGGAATGTGGGTCCAGTCTAAGAGGTTTTTCGTCGAGACTAAACGATTGTGGGTTTTGGCTAAGCTTTCTAGGAAAAGTTTCAGAATGTAGGCGTAACTGTGTATAAGCAAACGGCAAGGTTTAAAATAGTTCGATAGAGGGGGATATGCTGTCTTCCCCCACAGTATCGTTACCTATCGTGGGGGGCATTATATGTTTTACAACTCCAATGATCATGGCGATCGCGCCCGTTTGCTCCTCACTCTATCAAAGAAACATAAAACTTAATCACTACTCTAGCTTACTATAGTCACTCAGCAACCAGCCCAATCCATACCCACATCTCAGACAGCAATGTTGTCGATTCAACGCACTTATTTTTTCTGTCATCCTATATCTGTTATAAATTTTCCTGGCGCCCTTCTTTATCTAACAACTTATTTTTCTGCTAACAATTAATTCATATCCGACTCTCTAGCCGTGGTTCAATATTCTATTACCAACCCGCTTCTCTCATTTCAACCGTACGAACAGATAGCTTAAAAGTGATGTTGAAGGTTCTATTTCCTTTGTTCCGTCGGTCCCTTCAGGTAGGCTACCCACTTCGACCTCTAGATGGACGCGAAGAAAATACGCAAGCAGAACATCTGCTCGTCATTTGGAGAATCCTAAGGTAGAAAACACTGAACGATCACTGCCCGGTGGTGGGTCTTTACCGATACTATAATTCCACAAGAAGATGTCGGTATGAGGACAGATATCTATTGCAAATAACAGTAAGGTGATCGGCAAATTGGCATACATACAATAAAATGTCCCATTTGGAACAAGTCTTCAGAATTCCCACAAGCTCACTGGATAATTACTGGAAAATGCGACAGTAAGTGCAAGTTCTGTGTAGTTACAAAAGTAAACCCTTTGATCCACTCGCCAGTTCCTTGGTCAATCAATAACCGCTTCTTGGTGTATACTCACAGATTTGCGCAGTAACTCACAACACCGGTTATATTACCAATAAATTCATTCACACCGGTCATCAGGAAACATTATGCCAGCACAGAGAAACCCCAACCCAATCATTCCCTCCGTCTCTCAATAACCTCCTTCAGTGAGTTAGTGCACAAACTAGTGCCGATCCGCAGAGTTGGTGGCTAAATATTGTCAAAAATTTCAAATTTCAGAAGTTTAGGATTCTTAATGAGATTCGAATGTAGACATGAACAATATTAAAGCATTCGTTTACCGTACGTTTTAATGTTTCAGCTGCGAAGCCAAAACAGTATGTAGTCAAGGCCTGGCTTTTCGAACCCTAGCACTTAGTATCATTCCGGTCTGTACTCATTTCACTAGCGCTGTGATAAAAGTTCATGAACATTGTAGAACACTTTAGACGGTAAATGCTTGGATTGTAGAACACTGCTCTTAGGGTGTGAGTTTAAAGCTATCTGTTCATCTATACTTCAGAGGAGTTCTAAGCTGAACAACCCTACCACTGAGAGCTAATCGCCAGTCTCAAATTTATGGATTAACTGCAAAGATCTGACTTTAAATTTACAAAATCAATATGTACCAGAGCGTCATCCATGGCTCTAAAGCAAGTTGGACTACTTAAATATGCTTTCGGGCAGTTCGAATGAGCACTGTTCCCGCGTTTGCTATCAGCGTTAGTTCGGCCACACACGGAGTATGCCGTTCAAGTATGGAATCCATGGTTGAACCGCGACAAAAAAGCTCTAGAACGTCCGCAAGGGCTAGAAACAAAATTGGTAAAAGGTGTGTATAAGAAGATATACTACGACAGACTGCAACTATTTGGGCTTTACTCATCTTTACTCATCAATGGCGTCGACTTAGGGGGGACCTCATCTTTCCAAACTACATACAGTGTGAACTCATTATCCCTTGCCGTTCTGCGCTAACTTTCTCTCAAAATCATCATCTCAAGGGACATCCATTAAAGTTGAGGACTCAGAAAAACCACTTTGATTGCCAGAATCACTCGTTTGCAGTTAGAGAGTACGGTGTATGAAATTCCCTTTCGTTTCATGCAGTAGTAGTATGTGCTTCTACAGCTGAACTATTCAAATCTCAACTTGATAAAGCATTGGAACACTTAACATTTCGATATCCGCGTGTGTTCATGCTTGCTATTATTATTATTATTATTATGATTCTTTTCTCTCTCTGTAAAGTTATCCAAAAGATTCTGTAAAAAATCTGTGAGACTTGTTAATTCGCCCATAATAAATTTTAGACTTCGATTGTGAATATCTATAATGAGATAATAAATCAGCAGTTTGGAGCTGGATAAAAGTTAAGAGACCGTTGCTTATTTGCTAATCACATTTCGGTTGATCTCTGATTATCCACAAAATCGGATCGTTTGGTTGTGAGTATGGATATAGTTAAAACGTTAGCCTCATCTTTAACAATCACTCACCGCTCTGGGGTGTTTAGTGGTATTGGGGTTTGTCGCTCATTCCACATAGCTCTGAAGTTCGAGAGATTTTAATTCAACCACGGATGAGAAGTGTGGAATTCAAATCTGTCGAACGAAACAAATGTTCTATATTTTATCAAATCCTGACAAACACTAAATGACTCAGTTCCGATCAGACGTGATGATTAGATTGCATGGAACAATTTGGATAAGTTGAAACAACTCAGTGGACCTGGTAATCAGAGTACATTGGAAATGGAATTGAAAATAAAGCGTTCATTATTTCACCGTCTGCGTGTCAGTAGAAGCACAACAGTACTTTGCACAAATGGGGATGTGTGCACCAACGCGAATGAACGAGTGTACACAGAAAGAGAACCACATCACGCGGAAATTGCCGTCAAATTCACAATAGACCATTTCCAACCCATTCATTACTCCATGAGTTTTTCTATCATACTATTGACATCTCCATTTTCTTCCACGGCCAGACGGGATAAACGATTGTAGTCTTGTGAGAATCCCATCGCTCGCAGTTTTTGAATTGCAGCAACCACCTTTGGATCTTCCGGTTTCGGATCGATAATCGGTTTGCAAACCGATGTACGTTTGGAGCTTGGACGGGATTCACAATCCGCATCGTTGGACAAATCCGACTCGTCATCTGAGGCACCGGACACAATATTCGATGCAACAACTCGAACCGCCTGAAGGATAGCACTAGGATAACCGGTACAGTCACGTGTGATCAGAACCGGATGTTGTGCGTGGAACCCGGACTGATAACACGTACCACAGAGCACCACACGGGGACAAACCACACATGAAAACTTATCGCCTCGCCAGTCGACAAGTTTGCATTGATTACAGACCAGTTCGAGCGGACCGTACTCGTTCGATTGCATATAGTCCGCTCGGCCTTCATTAGTGTCCGCATCCACGTATTCACGAAAATCACGTGGTAGATCCTCGGGAGCACAACCACCAAAAAATCCACCGAGCTTTTTCTCTTCCGGTGGAACGACCGGTGAAACATAGAGCAACGGAGTTGAGTCTGGTCGATTGATCCGCATTTGGTTGACCGCCTCACGCAGGCTTTCGGTAGTGCTAATTGTACAATATTCCGTACCGTCTAGGAAGGATAGGGTAAACCAGACCGAAATATGTCAACTAGCGGTGGGGTCCTGTTCAAATGAACGTTTAGAAATGAAATATTGTGAATCCGGATCGGGATTACGTAATTTAGTTCCAGATGTGAATAGTTCGGTTTTCCATCATAATCATCATCATGATCATCACGTACATAAAAACACAGTGAGGCGAACTTCACTGATCGCTGCCAAACTCACAATGCATACAAGGCTAGTGGTAAAATTTAAGGTGGAGATGAATTGGACCTACTTTGAGGGAGGGAGAAGAAGGTTAACCACTAAGGTCAACAGAGAGACTGCACAATCAAACTCCGCACACACACCATTTCAAGCTTTCTGGTCTAATAGGAAATGACAACAAGAACGCCACTGCTGCCGGTTCGCTGCCATATCCTTCAATGGCTCCAACCAACCGTCTGTGGAATCTTTCGGGCCCCAGCCTGGAAAGCGAGAGACACCTACTCTACCTAATGGCTCTGAGCATTTCTTCATGCCTCGTCTCTACGTCATTTGTTGACCTCCACTTGGTTTCCTCCAACCAGGAGGGGCTACAGCGAATAAAGCGCGGTGCGGCAGACCATGGCTGGGCATACGCAATACGTGCTCTAGTCAGCGAAGTCTACTAATCTGAATTCGGTGTACCAATAGGTTTAAACCTGATAGACTCCCAGACACAAAACGGCTTACCTCCAAATCATTAACTCGTTCGCTCCATCCCACTTGAGCTAAACTGCGTAAACACCGATAATAAAACTTCCATTCGACGGATATCTTCTTCTCGCAAATTCACAACCATAAAGCAAAAACAAACGAACGGTGGCACAATATACACGACCTTTCAACTTCAGTGAAACGTCGCGTCTACGCCAAAGGTATTTTAATCCTGCGTACGACGCTCGAGCCTTGGAAATGCGGGCGGTTATCTCCTTAGCTGCGCTATCGTCATTGGTCACGCTGCTACTTAAGTAGTAGAAGTAATCCACCGTAACTAATTCCTGGCTACTAAGTGACGATCCAGGTAAGTTGCAAGCTTTTCTGGATAGTTTGACTGCCAGTGTTGCCATGTTCGGTATGTGTTTTGCACCTTCAAAGTGCAAAATGCTACTACAAGATTGGACTGATCCAGCGCCCAGTCTCACCCTAACTGGGGAAGTAGTAGAGGAAGTAGACAAATTTTGCTATCTAGGCAGCTATATCTTACCTGGCGGACACATCACAGATGAAGTGTCGGCGCGCATACAAACGGCTCGATTAGCATTTGCCAACTTGAGACATTCGTGGCACCGTCGCGACATACGGCTTTCTGTGAAGGATCGAGTGTATGCTGCAGTAGTTCGACCAGTCCTGGTCTACATGCAGAGACTTGGCCACTAAAGGAACAGGATAAAAATAGATTGTCGGTGTTCGAACACCGCTGTCTACGTCGTATTGCACGTGTCCGGACTAGCAATACTGAGGTTAGGCGTAGAGTTTTAGGCAGTCGCAGTCGTCCACAAGAGGAAGTGATCGACCTCCATAGATTACGCTGGTTGGGACATGTGCTACGCATGTCACCATATAGGTTGCCACGGTGAACGATGTTTGCCAAGGCTGGTAGCGATTGGAAAAAAACGAAGGGCGGTCAAGCTAAGACCTGGCACGATGGTATGAAAACCCTAACCGGGAGACTAGGTCACATAGGCCTCGTTAGGCT